GACCACATCCGAAACAGCTCCAGAAGAAGCATTCTAACGGATTACACCAGTTTCAGAAAAGCTAATTGAAAGCAGGCTCCGCTGGTTCGGCCACGTGAAAAAAAGATCCATCGAATACGTTGGAAATGTGGTCCAAGCACTGATACTGTCATGGAATTGTAGAAAGAGAAGACAAAAGAAAAGGTGGCACGATGTGGTTAAAACCGATATAAAACCGCGAGGGGTCCCTGTGGATCTAACTGACAGAAAAATGTGGAGGAGGTTGACCCGATTAGCTGACCCTTGTTAAAGGTAACGTGCTAAGAAAAAGAATGAATACCTTCCTAACGGCAGCTGCATCCTGAATTGCTTTTTAAGATTTCGTTGCAAATTGTTTCGTTAGAGATGCGCCGGCTTCAGGGCATCGAAAACAGGTGGTGTATCTGTGCCTTATGCATTCTAGGTTCAGTGCACCTTTCCCTACGTGACGTTGGTTCCATGCAAGGTTACGACGTGTTGGTTGATGATTAGTTTCTGAGTTTCGAGTAATAAATATTTGATTGCGATTTTAGGCGGGTGTATTGTCAGAATATCGTCTGATGGTTCTTGGAAATTTTCGAATCTACCGTAATCCCAGTGAAAGCAATCTACTTTGTCCGATTATAAGCATACCGCCCGATTTGATCTTTCCACCCGAAGACCAAAATTTTATCTTGAACGCCTTCTTGATTTTTCGCTGCTCGATGGTCGGCCAACAAGACCGTGGTATTCGGCCAATTTTGTGCCACTAGCCATTCCGAGTCGTCGGTGTATAACCATTTACGTTTGTAGAGAGAGAGCTGGGCGACGTGGTTAGCCCCAGCGGCCGAACGAGTTTCGTCGCCAAATTGCATCTTGTTGAGTTCAACAAGTTGGTGCCGTTGGAAAACGGTAATTACGAGTTGTTAATGAGGTAAGTGCCTTGCGTCGGCGTGATGCACCTCGACTGCTAGGCAAACCTTCCTCTTCCTTATGACTGTTAACTGGTGCAAAACATTCATACGTTTTGCAGAAACGATGATTACTTCGCCGAACCACTGCATCTGTTATGCACGTGCAACTTGAAAAAGCTGGTAAGTTAGCCCGCGTGGCGCACAGTTTTGCAACATTTTTTGGTGTCGCTTGTCAATTTTTCTGCTCTTCTTTTGCTCTTTTTTGTTCATCGTTTCTGTCTTCTTTTGCTCTTTTTTGTTCATCGTTTCTGTCTTCTTTTCTGTCTATCGTTATTCTTCATAGTTCTCTTTAAATTTCTTTTTTCCCATTTCAAGCTTCTTCGCTTTTTTTTGTTTTTTCACATTGTCGTCCAAATTCTTTTTCCTACTTTTTACCCATCGTTATGTCGTTTTCTTTTCAGTTCCCTTTTTTATTTCATTTCAGTCAGTTAGTCAGTCAGATTTGCTTAAATGAACCTTTACGTACACAATAAGCTGCCAAAACCCTGGATGAAAGAGTGAACAAATGCGAAACAAGCTGTCTAAAAGTGGAACTCTGTCAAACAGACCAGAGTCTTCCCGAAAAAACTGCT